TTTTTTAATTACAGATTGTGTTTACAGAATATTCTTGTATATACTTATGGGTATTAAATTTCTCAGGGTAAATATCATAAACATTAAGTGGTATATACACTCTCACTGTATCTCCCGTTCCACTCAACGGTTTTTAATACCAGTGCCTCCACTCATATGAGGTCTTATATGCATAGTATGTTTCAAACATAACAAGCAATTAATAGCAAAATCTTTTTGACACAAAAATAATAAGATATAAATAAATATAACTTTTATTTTCAGTGAAGAATAGACACGAAAATCATGTTTAAATTCATACATGAATTGCATTTATAAATGAAATTAAATGCTTTGAGAAAAAAATATTATTTTTCAAAATCATATGTTTTCTATCAAAACAACAAAAATAAAAAATCCTTATAAAAAATAAACACAAATTGTATCTTGCACAATTTCTATATATTTATATGCTTATCATTATTAGCTAGCTAAATATTTTGTTTGACAAATAATTTTAAATAGTTTTAAAATATTATTCGACACATACCTGGCTAAGGGGCCGGACTTTTTGGACCGGTAGCTTAAAATCTTCTCGACCAGCGGGTAGTTACCGCTCCGGGAGGCGTCCAAAAGCTCCTGGTCCTTACCCATCACAATTCACTTGCAATCATAACCGTCACAAAAAATTAACAAGCAACAACATTCAATATCCAACAACTAGCTCAATATTAAGCAAATATCCAACAAAATTAGCCAGCACACACTCGTATATCAACAATGTTTATGTAGGTAGCTGGGTCGAAAATTAGTTCACTTCATAATGTACCATGTGCATATAAATCATATGTCTCAGGCGAGTATATATACATAAACACTGAGCTTATAATTCACAGTTAATTATCCGAAACATTTTATCCATACCCATAGAGAGAGCACAGGGATGTTGTATACACGGAATACAAATTATTTATGGGGCTATTTGGTAATTGATTTTAATATTCAATACCATAATACGATTATCGAGTTCAGGAATCCTATTGTATGTGTACACTGTAGACTACCGTTCTCATCGAGCACTCTCGTATGTATACACTACTTGCTATATACAGCTCAGCCTAACTGCACAGTTATGTTCGCCAATTCGTATGAGTCAATCGCTGCGAACATCCATAGAAGTCGGCGCATGGATTCTGTGCGACAGATACAGCTCACAGATCCAGTTCCCCCTTCAGTGGTATGCCGTTCCCCAGCCATGTATTGATGTTTGAGGGCAAAGTGCTGGATCTACCGGTGCGACGACTGGTAGGCCGGCATCGTATTAAATGGTATATAATATCAACACTTATGTGAGTTTGTATTAATATGCATGCTACATTTTAATAGTTATAATAATTACATTTTATAGTTAATTATAAGTAAAGTTTAATAAATTTTTGTAGCTAGGTTTAATACTATAATTTAAATAGACAGATATTTAGTAAGTATGCAGTACTACAAAGTTAATTATATAAATAACACAATACAATTTATTAACTAGGCAAACATAATAATTAATTAAATGCTCAAAAATACATTTATCATATTTCTATACAATTAATTATGAGAAATATTTTTAGAGTTACATTTGTTATATCAATTGTTATGTCTAATGTATTTCAATAGTATTGTAATAATTTATCCTTTTATGTCATTTATTTGTATTATATTTATAGTTCATTTGTTTGGTTGTATTCACAGATTTCTATAGAAATTGATTTTTGTATGAAATAATTTTCTCATTATTTTGTCTGTAAAACAATAATAAAAGTTCAATGATTTTAAAATACCATAATCAATAAATTACAGATACTATACTAATGTCATTCAACTAACTATAAGTGCAAATAAAAATACATTTTTATTTATTTTATTAATGTTAAGATGTTTTATATTTATTAATAAATTCATATTGAAATATTGTTCGGTATTTACAGTATAGTCAACTATTTTTTGTTAATATGTTTAAGTATTTTATTTAACATATTTATTATAGTTAGCAGTAGTTATAGATTAACAATAATTTTGTTACAGTTGCTAACTGATAATTATATTTGTTAAATAATTATTATAACTTTTATTTAATTGTATTTCATTGGCAATAATTCAAAATACACTGATTTACATATTTTTGATATTATTTAAATAAGGTGATTTTTGAAAAATATTTGTATCCTTTAAACAGCTTCCATTTGTCTAATTAAATACAAGTCCCATATAATATAGTACAATGTTTGAAATAACTTTACAGTTTTAAATAACATTATTTAACATAATTAATTATGTTGTCACATTAACCAATTAGTTAGTAATATACATATTTTACTACATATATAATACATGTTTTATAACATTATTTATTATAATTATGATCATAATACAGTTTAAAACACAAAAAGATAATATTATATCACTAACAAATAGGATTTTCATACAATATTTTCTAATAGTACCTTGCCGATAATAAAATTATTCATTGAATTTGCAATCAAAATAACTATTCAAAAACTCATTACTCGTAACTTTAGTATCATTATTACACTCACGCCTAACCCGATTAATATCATACAATATATTAGGGTGCTTAATCTTTTGCAATATATCGTGGCAGCTAGGTCTTTTATCATACACGTACGTTAGCATCTCGTTCATTAAGTCGATTAACCCGGGATATTCTGTTGACCTAAAAAATACAGAAATAAATTAACACAGCAATCTACCAAGCTATATTTCACAACATACTTATTGATATCAATATTAAACAACTCCTCCACAAAAATACCGATACTATAGACATCAGCCTTTGTATTATAGGACCTCCCGCTGGCAACTTCAGGCGCTATGTATCTCTGGGCACCGGCACCCTTGGTATGGGACTGGGATGCCGATGCATGCACCTTAGCCAGGCCAAAATCACCAAGCTTAATACACCGTTTTTGAGCCAAATTAAGGAACACCAATATATTTGCCGGTTTTAGATCCCGGTGAATTATTTGCGGTACCCTTGTATGCAGATAGTCTACAGCCTCTAAAATCTCCTTGAACAAATGGTATGATATAAAGTACTCCACGTGACCGACACCCTTATTAGGCTGTGTTTTGAAACAGGTCTTTTTGAGCGTGGTCACGTATCGTAGGTTGAATGAGCATAACTCCATTTGTATGTATAGTACGGCCGGACCTCCCGTTCCCATAGAGGTCTCCAGCCATGAGTCATAATATTTTACCACATAATTAGCATCAAGTTTGGACAGTATGTCTATCTCCCGGTTCTCGATACTTGGATCTAAAAATTAAATTGTAATATACTTAAGCATGCTAGCTAATAGTTTTAATTTTAGATTAATTAATTTATGTAAATAATATAAAAATACAAATTACCTTGTATAATAATTTTCTTAATAGCATATTTGCCATTATCGTGAGTTGACTGTGTTTTGTACACCGAGCCAAACGTACCAGAGCCAATTATGGATTTTGAACCAAAGTCTGTGTTAATTTTATTTTCAAAAACTGGTATATTTTGACTATTATTGTTATTCATTATTAAGAATATATTGTGTAAGCTAATTTATAAATTAATCAACGTGTGAACACAAATAATACGTTAATTTTTAAAAATAGTCGCACAAGTATCATATTAATGTATCACAAAAAATTATTTATTGTTTTAACGTATTTATTATCATAGGAATGTATAATATTAATAAAATACCTGTACATTACTACCTAAGCAACACTTGAAATTGATTACAATTTTGATTACTTTATGTTTCATATAAAACATTATTAATATATGAGGTTTATTATTGTTAACAATTAGCACAAAAAAGTTTTTTATTGTAAAAATAAGTGAAATACAGTAGAGGATAATATTAGCTGGGTTATAGGGACATGTAAATTATATTAATGTTAAATAGATTGCTTAAGTTATTAAAGTTGCAGGCATGAAAATTACAATTTAACTTTTATTAGTGAAAGGTTATTGCATTAATGTTGCAAACATCTATTAAATTAACTTTCATATAACCTTGTTTATATATTTTTAAAATATTTATTATTAAAAATAGTTAATAATAGTTATTAATAACATAATAATATAATTTAATTATAATATTTTCCCACTGTTTATAAAATTTATATTAAAGTTTTGTCAATAATATTCAGTATTATTTATTCAATTTACATTTAAAATAATCATTTAAAAAATCAAAGTCCAAAATGTTTGCATTGTTATTGTAGTCATGCCTAACATTGTTAATGTTATATAATATATCAACTCCTTGTATCCTGGTCAATATATCAGTGCAACTTGGCCTCCTATTATACATGTAGTTCATCATATCGTTCATTATGTCACATAATCCAGGGTATACTGATGAACTATTAAAATATGCTACTATTAATATATTTAATTAAACAAAATATGCAAATAACTTTTTAAAACTCACTCATTAATATCGAAATTAAACAATTCCTCCATGAACCGTCCGATACTATAGACATCAGCCTTTGTATTATATACCTTGCTACTTATCACTTCTGGAGCAATATAATTATCCGTGCCTACATTTCTCGTATGCGACCCCTTATCGTGTATTTTAGCCAGGCCAAAATCACCAATCTTAATACATTGTTTTTGAGCCAAATTCAACAATATCATAATATTGGTTGGTTTTAGATCCCGGTGAATTATGACAGGTTCGCGTGTATGCAAGTATTCTACCGCTTCTAAAATCTCCTTGAACAAATGATACGATATAAAATACTCTATATGGCCCATACCCCGGTTAGGCACCGATTGGAAACAGCTCATTTTCATTTTGTTCACTTCACGCAAATTATGCGAACATAACTCCATTTGAATGTATAATATGGACGTGACTCCCGACCCTAAAGGGGACTCCATCCATGAGCCAATATATTTTACCACATAATTATTGTCCAGCTTAGAATGTATGTCAATTTCCCGATAATCTAGGTTCAGGTCTAAAATCGACTTAAAATATTTTATGTAATAAACATATAATTTTAAAAATAATATATTGTACTTTATATTCAAAATTACAAAATATAGAGGCTAGCTATTTTTAAATAACAATGCTATTTATAGTACATAGCTATTATTTATAAATTGCTAACCAATGTGTTTTGTATTTGCAACATAAATAATACCTTGTATGATAATCTTTTTAATAGCATAAAATATATTGTCTTGAAGCATTTGTGTTTTAAAAACTGACCCAAAATTGCCAGAGTCAATTAATTCTTTTACACCAAAATGGTTGTTAAATTTATTTTCATGAAAACACATTATCTCCTTATTTGCCATGTTTTATTAAAACAAACAATTTACAACTTTTTTTACCACCATAAAAATAATATTTATCATAAATAACAAAAATAATATTTAAGTATTTTTTCATAAGTATGAACTACTTAATAAATTATTTATTGTTTTAACGTATTTACTATCATAGGAATGCATTATATTAATAAAATACCTGTGCATTACTACCTAAGCAACACTTAAAATAGATTACAATTATTAATGATTAGTGTTTGTTTCATATAAAACATTATCAATATAAGAAGTTTGATATTGTCAATAATTAATGAAAAAATGTTATTTATTTGTAAAAATAAGTAAAATACAGTAGAGGATAATATTAGCTGGGTTATAGGGACATGTAAATTATATTAATGTTAAATAGATTGCTTAAGTTATTAAAGTTGCAGGCATGAAAA